GGCGCCCGGGGGTCGCATGGGCGGGGGTCCCGGGGGTCTCACCGTGCTGGAAGATGAGGTCCCAGGCGCGGAGGTGGCGCTGCCAGAGCGGGGGGTGCAGGCGCAGGAGGGGGCGGGGCAGGAACAGCAGGGGGAGGGTCGTGTCCAGCATCTCCTCCAGAGCCCCCAAAAACCGCTGAGCGCCCCCCGAGCCCGAGCCCCCCCCCAGCAGCCCCAGCCGCTCCCCGAACAGAGCGAAACTGCTGGCTGGGGGGGACGGGACGTCAGGACCCCCGAATTGGGGGGGAGGGAACGTCAGGACCCCCGAATTGGGGGGGGGGACATCAGGACCCCCGAATTGGGGGGGAGGGAACGTCAGGACCCCCGAATTGGGGAGGGGACATCAGGAACCCCCCGAATTGTGGGGGGGGGAGGGGTCTGACACCCCCGTTTCCCACCCAGACCCCCCCCCCAAAATCCATGGGGGTCCTGGGGTCTGCACCCCCTCAGAACCCCCCGAATTTGGGGTGGGGGGCGGGGTTTGACACCCCCATTTCCCTCCCCTTGTCACCCCCCAACATCCACGGGGGTCCTGGGGGTCCCAGCCCCCCCCCCCCCCCCGGGGGGGCCCCGCCCCCCCTCCAGGCCCCCCCCACCATCCACGGGGGTCCTGGGGGTCCCACCCCCCCCCCCCCATCCGTGGGGGTCCCAGCCCCTCTCTCAGGCCCCCCGAATTTGGGGTGGGGGGCTCCTGTTATGGACCCTCGCCATGTCCTGGGGGTCCCAGTCCCACCCCCCCCATCCCCTGGGGGTCCCAACCCCCCCCAAGCCGGGGGTCACAGGTGTCACCCCACATTCCCTGGGGGTCCCAGGGGTCCCACTGTCCCCCCACCCGGGGGTCGCGGGGGTCTCTGTGCCCACCCGGGGGTCCCGAGGGTCCCCTCATCCCCACCCGGGGGTCCCGGCGGCCTCCCCTCAATCCCCTGGGGGTCCCGGGGGTCTCACTGTGCCCACCCGGGGGTCTCTGTGCCCACCCTGGGGTCTCACTGTGCCCACCCGGGGGTCTCACTGTGCCCACCCGGGGGTCTCACTGTGCCCACCCGGGGGTCTCACTGTGCCCACCCGGGGGTCCCGGGGGTCTCTGTGCCCACCCGGGGGTCCCCCCATCCCCACCCGGGGGTCGCGGGGGTCTCTGTGCCCACCCGGGGGTCGCGGGGGTCTCTGTGCCCACCCGGGGGTCGCGGGGGTCTCTCACCCTCGAGGGTGAAGCGGAAGAGCAGCGGGTGGGGGTCGATGGTCAGAGCCCCCCCGGGGGCGGCGCTCACGCGGCCCCGCAGGCTCCGGGCGAAATCCCGCGCCACCGCGTCCAGCAGCGGCACGAAACGGCGCGCGCCGGCCGGACACAGCACGGCCCGGTTCAGCGCCAGACGGTCTGACCGCCACGCCGGGCCGTTCCTGTGGGACAGGGGACACAGGTGACACAGGTGA